CTTGAGATCATTAGGTCCTAGACGAACCTTTTCTTGAAACAATGATTCTTCAAGTTGCAAAATGTAAGTATTAAACTCTAAGTTTTTGTTTCTAGACTGATCCAGATCCTCTTCAAGTTTTGTTCGTGCTTCTTGCGTTCTTTGATTAAGCTTCTGGATTTGAACATCTTTGTTTCTGCATCTTCGCATCCAATTTCTAGCCACTTCCTGCTCTACCTCAAGTCTGGTGTTGAAATTTTTTCTTTCCAGCTCCCATTTTTCTTTTTCAACATTGGATTCTTCCATCTTTTGGCCTCTGACTTCAAGTTCAGCAATCAACTGGTTCATTTCAGATTCAAATCCCTTAAACATGCTATTTTTCTCGCCTTCAAATTTATCAAAGATGTCATTCTTCATCTCTTCTAAATCTTTGGCTCGATCCCTTTCTCTTTGCATTTCATTCATGATCTCGCGGTGTTCAGCCTTGTGTTTTATAATTCGCTCTCTTCTGTCAACCTCGAAATCTTCCATTTTTTGCTTTCCTTTTTCCAGACTTTTGAGTAGACGGCTATTCTTTCCTTTCAGATCTTCAACTTGTCTTTTCTCAATGTTCAATTCTCTGGTCATCTGTACCGTCGATTGGCTGGGTCCTGATGCTTTTCGGGATTTATATAACTCCTGGTAATTTTTCTGTAAGGCTCTGTACTCATCCTCACCTTTTTCTTTATCTTTTCTCAACATTGCACATTGTGATGAATGAAAGTCAATGTCAACCCCCAACATAGCTTTGTCTTGTCTCATTTGCTCTAACTCTTTCGACCAGCCATCTCTTTCTGCTTCAAACTCAGCTCTCAAGATTTCAATTTCTGATGGAACCACCTTAATGCGATCTTCCATAGAGATATCCTCATTTTGATCTGGTAGAGGAATATTTTCGTTTTTTCTGACAGATCTCCAATCTTCATAATCAGGAGTTAGCATTTCTTTTGCTGCTTTAGCTCGAATACAAAAAGTTGTTTTCCAAGCTGTAACAGCTTCCATGATATTTCTTTTATAATTTTTGCTGTGAAATGCGAACTCAGATGACTGTAGTCCAGCAGTGACAGGTACAAATTGACGACCTTCATACTGTCTTATAACCAGCAGTGGTGCATATCCAATTCCTCCCCATAATCCGAGTAGCATTATCCAATTGTAATCACCACACCTGTAAAAGAATTCCCTTTGTATTTGCCACGGGGCTCGCCAAACAACGTCAATGCTTTGCAGATTTCGAAAGGCATTAATCCACATATCTTTCTTAATTTCTTTAGGCCATTCCTGCTCTAGAAATTCTTTTAATGGTGAGTAATCCGTATTGAAGCGTCGGTATGAAACCTTTTCCGTCCTCCAGAAATGACTACGGATCCAAACATATAACAACTGGGTACACCCTGAGAATCGTCCACCTCCTAACCTTCTGCAAGCATTTAACGATCTGAAGGTCTCTGCTAGGATGGCAGAAACAGGATTAATCTTCTTCAGTAGCTGTTCAAACAAGTCTACCACTGCAGCTTCAATATATCCCAAAACTTTTGGGAAGATGACCATACCATATATACCCAGAGCAAATAGATCGAATTGTACTTTAATATCTGGATGGCTCTGAATAAGTTCTCTGATGTTGGTCCAAGCAATGCCTTCGCTTTCGCCTTTTTGTTTCGTACGGGATTCTACCCATTCTTCTCGTACCCCGGCAATGTTTGCTAATTTAACTCGAAAGGGTTGAGTTTTAATTGACTTTGAATAGATTCGATTCTCCAAAGCTCCTTCGATATGTAGCAAAGTTGTGTATTCTTCAATACTAGGGACCAAGTCTTCCTTATTGAGAGTGAAGCAATTGTACCCTGGATTCCAGAATTGAATTAGGGCTCTGAGTAATTCATCATCAACTTCAACATAGAGCAAATATGGGATGTCTCCGTAAGTCTGATAAAACTGCAATTTTTTGTTTGAATCCCAACTTTCCCAAATGCTTCGCAAATCCTGCATATCATTTCTTTTTAGTGAAACTGAAGCATAACTGGCCAAGTCAGATACATAATCATCCTGCAGACTGTCTCCTTCTTGTCTTTGTAAATCCTCAGCCCACTGTCTTACTTCTGAGTTTAGAATTACTTGATTTGAACACTTTTTATCCATAGATGAAGGCTTTCCAATGCGACAATTAACACAAGGAGCAATGTCTTTTATCCTGTATGATGCAATGCAAACAGAAAAATAATGAACACACAAAAAGAAAATAAGTTAGTTTAAAGAATAATAACATTTACATAAATATTCTTTATTTAAACATGCTTTTCTGAATTTAAATAATTTAAATAAACATGTAATTTAAACAATAAATAAATTAACAGGAAAGACAGAATTCATTTCTCCTGTGTGTATACCTATTTTGGACAAAATTTCGGCATGACTTCGGATTGGAAGAGTTTCTAAGGTTTTTTATATGCAGGGTTTCTGATCTAGGAGTAAAGGTACTCGAATTGTCCATGTTAGTGCCCCCTTAGGCTGCTAACCCTCAATCCTAGTCCATTACAGACTAAAGTGGATCGAGTTCAATTCGAGGGGATACATTTCTCTATGCCTGACACGGAGAATAAATTCTCACGAAGACATAGAGCATATGAATCCCGAAAGTTACTTGCTAGGTCTGACACGGAGAATAAATTCTCACGAAGACGTTGCTTTCACTCCCACTTAAAAGGGACGAACTCAATTATAGAGCTTTATGTTATGCAATGCAAGTGTTGTGTGTGAGGAGAAATGTTCAAACTTTAGAAAAATAAATAATGAAATAAAATACTGGCAAAGAAAATAAAACATATAAATATTATAAAAATAATAAAAAATTTGAAAAGAAAGAATTAAAAATTAAATATATGAATTTTTAATTTTTAATTAATAGAGACAATTTATAATTGATTTTTTTTTAAAAGTTTGACCATTCCCCAGCGGAGTCGCCAAGCTGTCGTAACCGGCTTTCGTCCGGGCACGAAATATTATATTTGGCGGGAAAAGTGATGTGAATAAATGGTTTTGAAAATAATTTGGGAGTCGCCATCGGCCTTTTGGGTCAGGTAGGTCGAATACCTAAAAAATATCTTTTAAAAGAGTTTTAAGAAAACATCAATTAAAAAAAAAGTAAACTGATCTGCGTTTATAACCAAAAATTCGTTCTTTTTAATAATAAAAAAGGATTCGTGGTCGATTACGTTTAGGGAAGGATTAGCACCCCTACAACGCCCAAAATTGGTACTTTTTAATTATAAATTGTCTCTTATTATTAAAATTTAAAAATTCAAAAATATATTTAATTTATAATCCTATTATTTTCAAAATTATATTTATTTAAAATATTTATTTATTTAAAAATATCAGAAAAGAACTTCTAGGTGCCTTAAGACAGCTCTTTTCTTTGATATTGATAAATATTAATTTAAATAATATTGTTTAATTTTTAAAATACCAGAATAGGACATCCAGTTGTATTAAGACTGTCCTTTTCTTCGATGTTAAAAAAATAAATATTAAAATTACTATTTATTATAAGTATATTTATGAATATATAAATATTTATACAATATAATAAAATAAAAATATCACTAAAACAATATATTTTAGGCAGTAAAATGAAAACATATAAATAACTAAATTATAATAAAAATAAAACTAAATCTAATTAAAAATATAGGGATTAAATATTTTATTTTCTAATTTAATAATTTAGTGACCAAAATGAAATTATCTAAAATTCAAATTTTATAATAAAATTAATTAAAAATATGAACTAGGGATAAAAAATTTATTTATTAAAATTAAGGGATTAAATTTGTCATTTATCCTAAATATATTATTTTAATAAAAAGGACTAAAATGAATAAAATTAAAATTCAAAGACTAAATTAAAATTATTATAAATTCAGTTTAGTGACTAAAATGTAAAATTTACAAATACGAAGGACTGCGGACGGGGTTTAACTATTTCATAATTACGCGCATAGTCCTTCCTGAAACGACGTCGTTCGGGAAGGACTATAAGAGTCCAAAACCGGCTGGCCCGAAGGGCCAACCTTCATTTTCCATTTTCTTCTCTCTCTCTTCACTGAGAGAGTTTTAAACTCTCTGCCTTCTCTCTAGCTTCCCTCATCGGAGGGAAGCCGGTTACCGGTCGGCCACCGTGGGCCGCCGTGAATATCACCGCCGGCCACCGCATCCGATGGCCGGAAAAAATTATTTTTATACTAATAGATAGATCGGACCGTCCTAAGGACGGTCCCGGTGTTCTCTTCCTTTAAAAAGCTCCTAATCGGAGCGAATCTTACAAAAATACCTTCGATGTTTCGAAGGTTCTGACGAGATCCGGTGGTCGAGGCTTCCTCGGTAAGTCTCTTCTTCCTTTTTCTCTCTTTTTTTCTTCTGGTTCTTTGCTGCTGAGATCGTTGGTACTAGTTTGTGTTTTTTTTTTCTCTGTCTTTTTCTTCTCCGTTCTCTGTCTCTGTTTTTTTTTTTCTTTTCGCAGATGGGTGGTGGCTTTTATAGCCACCACCAGTGTTCGTCTCAGACCGGTCCGAAAGAAGTTCTTCGGTGAGTCACCGGACTTCCAGTGGTGACTCACCATTTTGGGCAAGACGTGTGCGGCTGGAGTGGGTGTGGCGGTGAAGGCTTCTGGAACCAACAACGGCGGCGCTGGGACATGTCCCTAGGGTATAGATACCCTAGGGTTTCCTCTGGCAAATGGTGGACCGTTGGATCAAACCAGATCCAACGGCTGGAATTGAAGATGGCGGCTGAGGATGATACAAACCCTAAATTGGGTTTAGGGTTTACTGTAGGATTTTGGGTCTGGGCCACTGTTTGTAATTGGGCTTCCATTCGGGCTTGTAATATTTATTTATATATGTATTTAATATATTTAATAATAATAATAATAATAATAATAATAATAACAATAATAAAAAAAAATATTAGTATCTTCACTCCTCAACTTGTTCAAACCCTTGTTCAGCTCGTAGAAAAAATAAGCCGCATATAAGGAACACAGCAATGATAGCTCCCAGGGTTGAGGCCACAAATAACTCCTAAATCCTGCCTTTTCTTTTGAGGGAAAATCTGCACCTTTATAAAAGATGCTGAGAACTCGTCACCACCATCACTTTTCTTGATGGAGAATACATGAGAAAGAAAAGAGTAGGAACCCTGATTATATATAGCAGCTTTGCACGAACAGTTGTTCAAACAGGCCTCCTGACAATCTTGTAATGTTGTTGTCTCGGATGATAAAAAGCTATATATAGGTTGAGAATAGTAGCCCGAGATCTGGAGAAGACTGTGATGAAAAGGAAGCTCACAAGAGATTGGCGAAATTGGATCACACCCAAATTCAGGGTTTGTAGAATTTACTGGCCTAAAATAGTTTGTTTCGTTTTCGCTTGCATCGTCAAGGCAGCTGCATCCTCCTTCTGAGCAAACACTATATTTTCCACATGGCAATGGATAGCTACATCGATCAATGTTGAGCAGATCAGTCCCCTGCCACGTGCCAATGGAATCTTTCCACTCATATGCCTTCAAGTGACCATCGCTTCCCAGTTGTATAAAACTAGCTGAATCTGCCCCCGAGAAACTACCAAATCCTCCAATTTGGAATAGGACTTTGTTTCTTTGTTCATAATTTGTGTAATAGATTTGGGAAGGATCTGAATCCATATAAGCCGTAAAATTACCATCAATGATAGCAAATGCATATAAACCTTCACTTGGATCGACTGGCGATACGCTGGCCCTCAATTTCTGCTCTGACGTTAGCGTCTGACCACGAACCAAAGTGTCGGTCGGGTGGTCGAATGACTGCCAAACCATGTGGTTGGTTTTGTTAAGCAGCATGAGGTTTCCCTCCGCACTCAAGTTTAACCTCGAACCTGCTGCGTTTGTGGACCAAACCAAAGTTCTGTTAGCGTCTTTCAGGATAAGTTTGCCTTGAGAAGTTAGCTTCAACACTGCCTCTTCGTCAACTAGATTGTTCCGATTAGCGGACCACACCACCTGGTGAGGAAAGTTATAATAGCCATCAGAACTGATATTGAAGATAGAGACAGAAAATAGGCAATTGTCACCAAAGAAGCTGCAGTGGAAACCACAAACAAACATCCCGTTAACAAGGATTGGCCTCAAAACAGACTCCCATAAACTAGAGTCGGATGTGTGGGTGTTTCTCCAGGAATTCGGGCCATTCACAAATGATGGATAGGCCATGGTTTCAGCACCGACAGAAAACGACGATGGAACCATGATTATAATCAAATGTGTGATCACTAGATAGATGGCACAGACATTCGTATTCATGATCATTGGCGTTCATGCAGGGAAGAGTAAAGTAGCTGCAACAATGGCGTCAACCTTGATAGACCAAATAATTCAATGCTAAAGGGCTAAAAGAAAAAGGCACGCCGTGTCCTTGGGGGATGGGGGACTGACCTTGGTAAACGTGTACTTTAGTTTACATAGTCTCAAAAGAAACAACAAGAGAAAATAGGAAGCTTTTCACAAGTGTCTCTTTCGTTCGAGCACGTATAACCAATCCATTAAGAAAAGTGACAATCTTCCACAACCTTTAAGTCTGATTTGGTGTTCCTTTCTCGTAGTGATAGCAATTAGATCCAAACAATATTATTTCTCCAAGCTATTGTGTTCCAGCTAATTGGTTTCCAAGTTATATGTTCAGCTTAAATATAAAATAAATGCCCCAATTATATCTTTTGTGTGCTTAAATTATTTTTTGAATTATTTAGGTGTTTAATATTATAATTTTAGGTACATCGATTCTAACTGTCATTAAAAAAATACGTTAAGTGACACATGCCATAATATGATAATTTTAGAAATTTATTTAAAAAAACTTTAAAATATTTTATTTTTGAAAAAGTCCATGTTTTTCTAAAATACAAAAAAAAAAACCCAAACTCTTAAAATCTCATATTCTAGTCCAATTTACTTCAACCCTTGGTCATATCCAGCCACCCATTCATCATCGACCACCCACAAACTGATCACAACCCTTACTATCATCTCAAAGCCTAAAATTCTTAAGATCCTTACATTTCAATCCTCAATCCCTAAAATCCCAAATGCTTGATTCATTTAATTCCTTTAGTCGATCATGAAAATTAAGTGTTTAGCCGATTGTGGTAGCTGGCCGTTTGGCCGGCCATTTAATCGGCCGTTTCGCCGGCCATTTAATCGGCCGTTTCGCCTTTGGCCATTTGGCCGTGGAAAGGCTATGGAAGCTGGGGAAGGAGAGGGTGTGAGACGTTGGTTGGGAAAAGTTTGTTTTCTATTTAAATTTTTAAATAATATTTTTAATGTCAAAGAAAAATAAAAATTTTAAAATTTAAAGATAATTTAATGGGGTTTTATAAATGCCATTATGGCTTAGACATCTAAAATTGTGACGTTTTAAATATTAGATACCTAGTTAAATTTAAAAATAGTTTAGGCATAAATTTATAAAAACGGTATAGTTTGGACAATTATTTTATATTAAAGGCTTATGTTTAACCAGTTTTACATCCTACTGAACGCGGGAATCAAGATAATTTTAAAAAATAGGGTAAATGACTTATTTACACAACAATTCTTGTAATTTTGTTTTGGTCGCCTAATTATTTTTTTTTAAATCATACCTTAGTTACTTTATATTATATTTAATTTTTATTTTGATCACTCGTCGTTAAGTTTGACTATTGATTTAACAAAGGTACTAATGTGATATGGTATAATAATAGTTTTAGTCCTCAAAACTTGCACATTCTTTCAAATTTGTCATATTTGAAATTATTAAAAAAAAATTCACTTTATTCTAACATAAAAACTCTAGTTCCCTTCCCCAAATCATGATCTCCATGTCGTCCGAACACCCCTCGTCGACCCCTTACAGCGTGATTCAAGCTTTAGAACTATTGTGGCATATGAACAATGATTAGAGTCATTCCTAAGTATTTTTTGGCTCCGAGAAATAAAAAAAATTGCCCCTAATTCAAATGAAATTTAAGAAATACGTAATATATAATTTCTATTCAATTTTTTTATTAAATTAAACAAATAGTAATTCATTGTAATATAAAAATATCAAAAATATATTCAAGCAAACACTTAAAAAAATATTACCTTCGAACATTTGTTGATGCGAAATTGATAGAGAATCGGTAGCGAATGATGTGAACGTTGCTCTCCTCAAGGAAACAGACCTAAGAGCATTTTAGACTCGATGAAAGAACGAATGGCTTTCAATGGTGTTTAGGTATAGGCGGCAAGATTAGGGTTTTTGTAGGAACTTTGGTTATTGAAAAACAAGGGTAATGAAATCAAGGAAGATTAAAGAGAAGATAAACAAGGGTAATGAATTAGAACGTCAAACAAAACATGTAATAAAAGATATGGTCTTATCTTCCCTTTGTCCTTTTGCATGATACTGGACATAAGTATGTTGAGCATTTAATTTAGTTGAGTTAAATAAAAAAGCTAAATTGAGCTTAAGAGTATTATTTAAAGCATTAATTCAAAATATAATATTTTAAAAGTGTTGAAAACATTTTGATATTTCGATATAACAAATTAAGTTAAATGAATTTTAAGATTTTCCAAAATGATTTTCTAAAGTATGTTCGATAAATTTATTCGAATATAAAAACATTACTCCAAATATTTCAAAAATCATTTTTAATCCTTACTTAAGTGTAAAATTAAGTTTTAATCTTAAAACAATTTCAAAATAATCTTTCAAAGTATTTCGAACCATTTCAAACCCAAAATTTCCAGATTGCTCAGAGGGAACCGATTCCCTCCCATAGGGGGTACCGATTCCCCCTGAATGGTTTGACTCCGAGATTTCCAGAATGCTCGGAGGGAACCGATTCCCCCATAGGGGGTACCGATTCCCCCCTGTTCAACGGTCGAAATATTTGAATTTTATACTTAGGGAACCGATTCCCTATAAGGAGGAACCGATTCCCCCCACGCTCCAAGCTGTTTTATTAATTGTTTTCACACTAAAACGGCTATATTATCTTCATTAATTATCCCCAACGTTCAGAAGTGATTCAATGTGTATTTAAACAAGTTCCGAAGCCCTTGATCAGCAAGAAATCATAGAGAAACAAGAGAGAAAGCATCAAACACAAAGTTTGTGCAATTCAAGCCAATTTTCATTCAATATTCATTTTGCTTTCAAAGAACACTTATTGTGCTCATTTGTAATTTTCTTTGAGTGTTCTTTTCTTGTTCTAGAATTGTGCAAACATCTTACCTTGTGAGGTTTTCTTGTAAGTTTGCAAATTTGTAATCTTCTCTTTGGGAAAAAGAGCGTTCTCAAGAGTTGGGGTATACTCTTGAGGGAATTGTAAGGTTATCTCTTTGGCCTCAAAAGAAAGAACAAATTAGTGAATTTGTTGGAAAATCCTTAGTGTGGATAGCTAAGGTAGTGGACGTAGACTTTATTTGAGAAAGTCGAACCACTGTAAATCGCTGTGCAATTACTTTCAATTTTCTGCAAAAGCTTCCACAAAAATTTTAATTGCCAATTCACCCCCTCTTGGCCGATTCCGTCAATCGATTAACTCAACAATTGGTATCAGAGCCTAACTCATTTGAAGGTTTTATCGCCTCTTGAGTCGATTCGGGAAGAGTTATATCGATTATTAAAGTCATCAATGGCCTCCGCTTCAAACTTCGACTCCGGTCTCGATTCGATGCCTGTCAACAAGCCTCCTTTCTTCAATGGAGCTAACTATGCCTATTGGAAGAATAGAATGATGTACTTCATTCAAGCAAGTGACATAGGAGCATGGAATGCTGTAGAAGAAGGATACATCAAACCTCTCACTCATCCAAGGTTGTGGAGTGAAGGAGAGACAAGAATGTTCCAGCTCAACTCCAAAGCCATCCATATTATTTTTTGTGCTCTTGGACCAGATGAATACGGAAGAGTTTCATCGTGTACAACCGCCAAAGAAATATGGGACAAACTTCAAGTCACACATAAAGGTACAGATGAGGTAAAGAAATCAAAAATTAGTATTCTAACGCATAGCTATGAAAATTTTAGGATGAAACCAAATGAAGACATTAAAGCTATGACGGATAGATTTTCAACGATTGTCAATGGTCTCAAATCATATGGAGAGATCATATCAAATGAAAAGCTTGTGAGGAAGTTAGTCTACTCCCTCCCAAAATCATGGCAATCAAAGAAGATGGCAATCATCGAGTCTAAGGACCTATCGTCCTTAACTCTTGAAGAACTTATCGGTTCACTCCTCACTCATGAGATGATGCTCGAAGATGAGGTGGACCTTGATAAAGTTGAAGAGACACCAAAGGAAAAGGAGAAGAAGAAAAATATTGGAGTTGCTCTCAAATCCACAAAAGATGATAGTGATTCTAATAATGATGATGATGACGAGGAAATGGCATTGTTTGCCAAACGGTTCAGAAAAATGATGAGACCTTACCAAGGAAGAAAATTCAAACGAAACGAAGGCCTCAAAAATGAACCAAAAGAGAAGGACCCAATCATTTGCTATGAATGCAAAAAGCCGGGGCATGTCAAATATGATTGCCCACAATTGAAGAAAAAGGGTCAATCAAAGAATAAGCACAAGGCTCATGTGGCTACATGGAGCGATGAAGAAAGTTCCGATGAAGAGGAACAAGAAGTAGCAAACTTGTGCTTGATGGCATTCGGGGAAGATTCTAAGGTAACCTCTAACTCATCCGATTTTGATGATTTATCTTATGATGAGTTATTTGAGGAGTACAATGGGTTGGCTTCGGATTATGAGAAATTGTTTTTAAAATATAAAAATGATGTTTCAAAATTGAAAAATGAAAACAAACTCATATCTAAAACCAACAACGATCTTGAAAGTAAAATCAAAGATTTGCAAATCAAACTAGAAGAGTTTGAAAAGAAAAATTTAGATTTGCAAAATTTACTTTTAAAGATCAATGATGATCATCAAAAGAAAATTGATGATCTTAAAACTTCTTTTGATAAAGTTGGAACAAAACATTTTGAAATAGGTGGAAATTCAAAATCCAACTTTGTTAGAAAAAGTTTTAGAAACTACAATCATAGAGGTCCCCAAAGAAGCTCTAATAGAAAAATCATTAGAAGTATGTGGGTTCCTAAAGAACTCATTACTACTAAAGATAAAAATATCCTACACAAATGGATACCTAAGGGGACTAGGATTTTGGAAACTAATGAATATGGACCCAAAAGAATTTGGGTA